CCCCTGACCGGTTTCACAGCCGTGCAGCCCCAGGAAATAGAGGCAGGATGAGGGGGAAAGGAGCAGGCAAAGGGCAGGGAGTCTCCAGCCCATGTGCACCATGCGGCCATGGCCCATCCATCCCCTTGTCCCCTTCTCTTCTCTTCCCCAGTCCCAGCCGGGCAGTGAGCAGAAGACATGCCACCCAAACTCTAGCTGCCATGAGGCCATGCACAAACCCACCACCCAACCCTCACAGTGTCCCAGAGGATGTGCCTACCAGAGGGAAGGGCACCTGGGTCATCCCATGTGTGTATCAGGATACACGTGGCTGGGATGTGCTGGGAGGTGTGAGCAGAGTCCAACAGGTCCTCTGTGACTGGTACCTCAAGGGCGACCGAAATAAACTGCTCCTGGGCCAGCAAGGAGCACTCCATGCCTCTGCTGGGAAAACCCTCGGATTAAAATGAAAGGGCACCCAGCTGGTCCCTGCCCACATGCCCCATCCCAGCCCCAGGGCATCCCGCACCCCAGCTTCCCAAGGCACCCCATCCCTCATGGTCCCCTCTCCCCCACAGTGACGTGACGTTCGTGGTGGGCCGGGAGCAGCAGAAGGTGTTTGCGCACCGCTGTGTGCTGGCGTGCCGCTGCCAGGCTTTCCAGGGAATGCTTGGCCAGGGGCTGGCAGGCAGCGAGGACACTGCCGGCAGCATCCCACCCCAGGGGCCCTTCATCCTGGGCAATGTGCAGCCTGAGGTCTTCCTGGCCGTCATCGAGTTCCTCTACACCAACAGCGTCACCCTCAACAGCCACATCGTGAGTGGGGATGGGGCTGGTGGGGAACATGGGCATGGGATAAGGTGAGGATGCAGGGGTAGGTGGACTTTGTGGCTCCTGGGATGCCGAAGGTGGAGGGGATGCTCTGCATGATGCTTTCTGGCTGGCTAACAGTGCAGTGAGTGTGTGGGCTCTCAGCCCAGCACAACATGGTGTCCAGAGCACCTTGTCCCACATGTGTCTGCCCCAGCCTTAGAACAGCTGGCTGCGCACACCCTGGATGCTGAGAATGGGGACACCAGAGCAGGACACCTTCATATGCCCCCATGTGGCAGCTCCTTCCCCCCCATGCCCCACCTGGGAGTTCCCGTGGAGCCAGGAGGACACAGTCCCTTGGCCCCTGGGCTGCCATGCCCGTCCGTAGCCCTGCACACTGATGCTCACAAGGTCTCTCTTCCCTTCAGGCGCTGGAGGTGCTGACCTCGTCAGTGGAGTATGGCCTGCAGGACCTGTGCAAGGTATGGCCCTGCTTAGACTGGGGGCAGTGGTCCCGTGCTGAGGAGCACCCCAAGATGGCCCCTGCATGGCTTGTGGCTGGAGGTGACTCTGAGGACGGCACTGTGGTGTGTCATCCGGGTCCGTTGCAGGCTCAGCCCCTGCTTTGGGATCCTGGAGGGTCTGTCTGGTGGGATCCCCCTTGAGGGGGTGCAGCACTGTCCGGAAGCCCCACAGGGGCTGGGGAATCCCAGGGAATAGCCTGGGACCTCATGTCTCCCGCATGGCAAAGGGCAGCAGGAAAGCCCCTGTGACATTGCCCCCGGATGTCCTCTGGTCAGCTGGCAGGATGATGCCATAGGGAAAGCCCTGGTCCTGGGGAGCACTGAGCACCCCAGCTACAGTGCTGCTTTGGGCAGGAAGGTTTTGGAAAGGCAGCAGGGAGCAAAAAGGAGGGGTGGGAGCCGGATGAGGAGGGGGCAGGGAGCTGGAGTGGCTCAGCATTAGGGAGGGCGGCTGGGCCACGTCATCAGAGTGATTCCTGAATTACGGCTGGGCCGATCGCGTGACCCGCCATCTCGCGCCCGGACTTCCCCTCCCTTCCCACAGCTCCGGGGAAGGCCCTTGCTGAGGAACCGCGGGCTGCTGTGTGCTGAGGAGGTGGGACGGGACCTGTCCCATTCACCTCACGGGGACAAGCTCAGCCAAAGCCCAGATGTGGCATGGGGCTGTCAAACAGCTGGCTGGGCAGGGAAGGGACATAAGGGGTGTTGCAGAAAGGGGGACCCAGTGCTGCAGCCACACAAGTCCCACCCCACCATCCAGAAAAGGCATCCTCAGGGGGACGACCTGCAGTGGGGAGAGCCATAGAGGAGGGTGGGAGGGAAGGGGCTGACCAGGACAAGCCGGGGAAGCCCGTGGCTGTGTCCACAGCTGCCGAGTGACCTCATCTCCCTCCCGCCAGTGACTCAGGGCCCTTCTGCTGCAGCTGCTGACTCCTCCCTGCATGTCACATCCCCTTGGGTTTCCCAGGGGCTCTGACCTCTTTGTGTGTGTGGGGCAGCTGAGATGGGCAGGAGGGAGGCCCTGGTCCCCGATAGACGTGCCCATCTGGCTGCATCCCACCTGCATCGCCCACCTTTGGGCTGCAGCCGGCCCCCCAGCAGTCACAGGCAGAGAGCAGCTGGCAGGCAGGGCTGGGCAAAGCTGGGGTCACCCAGTGCACTGCAGCCAGCACCAGGGCCACCCCCCATGGCAGGACATGGCTGGTGACCATGGGCAGGGTTAGGTGACCCACCCGGGGCTATGAGGTTGCCTGGCGTTTGGTCACATGAAGCTTGGTCCCTGGCTGAATCAGTGCCCAGGCTGGCTGCCCACAGCACATCACTGCCGTATGAAATCCTGCAGGGCTGGAAGTGCCTCTACCCCATGTCCCATGTCCTGAGGGCTCACGGGGTGCTGAGAGTCATGGGAGTGGGTGGCAGGGCTGGGTCCCTGCTCTGCCCACCCTCTCTCCATCTACCTTCCAGCTCTGCGTCAAGTTCATCAAGGACACGCTGAGCGTGGAGCAGGTCTGCGAGGCTCTGCAGGTGAGTGTGACCCCAGTGGGGTCACAGAGGGTTAAAAATAACCAACCTGATTTTGGGGCAGGAGCTAGCCTGACCCTCCTGCTCTCGGCTGGACCTGGATAGCGGGGCAGGATTTCTTATCCACCTCTGGCCCAGCAGCTGCCCTGCCAGTTCCTGGGCACATTGTACCCAGGGCTGCAAGGGACACTGGGGCCACCACAGCCTGGCAGGGAAATGTCCTCATGTTGCTCTGAGCAGGGATGGCAAGAGCTCCCCAGTGCCAGGGCCTTGCCATCATCTGCATGAAACTGGGAGGCACTGGGTTTCTGGGAGCTGTTGTGGTTTTGAGGCCAATCCCAGAAACCCTGCTGAGAGTGGGGGCACCTAAAAATAGCCTTGGGGGTGGGGTCCCAATGGCCCTGCCACGCTGCTTGGTGGGACCAGGGCTGCTCCCCAGAGAAGGGGGATTTGTTCCACCTCCCATGGGCTGAAGCGATGCTGTCAGGGCGAGATGCTGGCCCCAGAGCACAGAAGCTCCCGCCAGATGTGATGCCAGACCACCGTGGCGTAAACAGAGCTAAAACTGGCCCGAAGGAAACAAACAGAAAACCCCAAAACCCCAGAACAAAACAAACCTGAAGAAAACATCTTGCCTTCCCTTCCCACTTGCGTCAATGCTGGTCCCCTGCTGTGGTGGAGGGGGAGGCGATGCTCGCCCTGCCTGTGCTGGTCCCAAGTACCCCGCACGCAGGGGCTGTCGCTGTGGGGGAACAGGGATGTGTCCTCCTGGTGCCCAGATGGGCAGTGCCAGCCCTGGGGTGAGCTTCTCTGAATAGGGCTGAAAGAGGGTGAGAGCACCCCAACTGCTGTGAGAGCTGGCAGCTTGGGGCAGGCTGGGGCTGGCACCAGGGCATGGGGCACATGTGGGGGGCTCTAAGCTGACCCTGTGCCCACACAAGGAGTGCTGGGTGGCTGCTGTGGGCGGTAGAGCCACTAAACTCTATCATGGGGCAGGCCAGGGAAGGAGGGGACCTTGGTGTCCCTTCCTCCCCCACCACCTGCACTGCAGCACCCACTCATGGGGACACTCACCGCCTCTGGTCCCTGAGAGTGCCCATGTCTCTGTAGGGCTTTGGCAGGGGGGGTCCCTCCTGCCCCAGACCCCCTCACAGGTGTCTGTGTTGTCCCACAGGCTGCAGTGACCTATGGGCAGGCAGACCTCCAGCAGCACTGCCTGGCCTTCATTGAGGGCTGCACTGCGGTATGGCTATGGGGGAGCATGGTGTGGGGTACCCCAGGGCATGGGGAGCACTGGGGGACATGGCATGAGGCAGGGGAGCAGGGCCCCTAAGAATGGGGTGGCTGGAGCCTGGGCAGGGGAGGAAAGGGAGATAATGGTGTTTGGGGAGAAGATGCTGGGTGCCGGGTAGAGGCTGGCTGGGGGATACTGGGGTGCCAGGGGATGGAAGTCCGAGTGTTGGGGGGTGATGGGGTGCCAGGAAGGGGTGGTGCCAGGATGGGTCCAATGGCCCATGTCGGGGGTGTGTGTGTGTAGTGTGGGGTCCTGGTACCAGCACCCCAGTGCTGTGGTGTTGCTGGCAGGCAGTGGTGCGGACACAGGGTTTCCATGAGCTCTCTGATGTGGTGCTGGCGCGGGTGCTGCGCAGCGACCGCCTGGACGTGGATGAGCTGGACCTGGTGCAGGCTGTGCGGGAGTGGGCGCACGTCAGCTCGGTGAGTGCAATTCGGTGGTGACAGGGGGGTGGTGGTGCTGGCTACCCCCCCACCCCAGACAGAGCCACCCAGGGATGGCCGGACACCCCCCACCGGACCAGGCAGGGAACCCAGGTGCCC